GCTGGCGGGCCAGGCCGGACGCGGCGGGGGGTCACTGCGCCTAAACGAAGGCCGCTGCCCCTCTGCCGTGAGATGGAGAGCAGGGTCCCCGAGGCGCCTCGCTGGCGGAGCGGCCCCCGAGGCCGCGGGCGCTTCGACTCTGAACGTCGCTGCCGCTCTGCGCTCCCTCCCCATCTCCGTCTTGTCCGCTACCGTTCTCCTTCAGTCGCTGTGAAGCCTCATTTCTGTTTCCTCCTCCCCGCCGTGCACTGATGCTTTCGCTCCGCTTAGCCCAGTGCGAGCCCGACCTTTGTTTTACCTTGCTTCTTCCTTCTTGCTAACCAGGTGGCAGCTGTGTTTCCCCTTGCCCTGCCTCCCTACCCCCTCGTCTTCGCGCGCAACCGCTCGTTGCTTGAATTCAGCAACTGCAAAGCATAACCCTCCCCGTCCCTGAGCCAGACGCATCGGCCTTTCAGCCTGGACCAGCTGCCGCGTGGCGGTCAAAAGCAGTTGCCCGTTCCTTTGCAGCGGGCAGCGCTGGCGCACCTTGCCCTTGCCGGGAGGAATCGAAGAGCAGCATCTTGCTGACAAAATCACGGATGGCAGGAAGCTGGCGCGCAGGCTTCCCTGCTGCTCCGCTCTCGTTGGCAGCGGGGCATTTCCATGTCTAGCGGAGGGAAAGAAAAGGGAATCCAAGTAGCTAGCGGAGAGCCACCTGTTCTCCAAAGCGCTAAGGTGAATTGCCCGTGTTTCCGTGCTATTGCCCTGTATCAGGAGAAAGTGGGTCGATACCAGCCCCCTTCCTTAGAGCCGAAGGAAAAGGCGAGCTGTCATTTCCTGTCTCTCGTGCCTGCTGGGAATTTGAGTCCCCTCCTGCGCTTCCCCAAACTGGCATCCTGGGTGCCAGCCCGTGTGCCCGGCTGAGTCGGAAATCAATTCTGCATCGGCTGAGCAAGGAGGGAGGTGAGTAGCCTGCACCGTACGCTAGTTGCACAGCAGCAGTCCTGTAGCCGTGGCTAAAAAACAC